GTATAAATTCACTTTATTGACCATAAAGGAACAGTTAAAAGATAAATATTACATTCTTCTTTCTACAGTAATGTTTTGAAATTCTTCTTTCTTCGTCAAGCAGGATTGAGGGTCATTTACCGAAAAAAAAAAAGGATTGAGGGTCAAATCCCGGAATTCGCATGTGTGGATGTCTGGAAAATCATTAGCAAAATCATTAATCCAGTGACTAGGAGATGCAATTTTCCTGAAAAGAGGTAGTGGTACATTATTCTCTGGCTGTCTTTCATGAGCCCTAATGACAGTCAAAACTTTCACCGGAAAGGTCATGTTTGATTGCTGATTTTTAATTAAATTATAAATTTAAGAAATTAAGAATATCTGAACAATAATGTGGATAATATTTTATTAAATTAAGAAATGAATAGAAAAACATGTATTTTTTTTTTATTTTTGTTAGAAAAAGTGTATGCCCGTCTTATTTTTAAAAAATCCCTTATTTGTCAAAGAGAAAAACTAGATATTAAAATTTAATTATTCCTAACCATTTATATAAATTTCTTAATTCTAACTTTTTTTTTAATGGTTTGAATAAAGAATATTAATTACCACTAACTAAACTATTCCTAAGGATGCAAAAAATATAAGTCAACCTTAGACAGCCTTCATGATCAAGTGAACGAAGCCGGGATTGATAAACAAAATTACAGATCCAATGGATTCCACATAAGCATTAAGCAAGAGGGATTGCATTTCTAATTCTGAAGTAATAGTCTACCAGATCAAGGGAAAAGTGAAATCTCTTATCAATCTCCTGAAGGGACAATCCCAGAAAATTTGTTCTTCACTCAATAAAGATATGATTTTTGGGTCGAATTTCCTAATTATGTCACGGATGATTTGTTTTTAATTAATTTGAGTCAGAAATACAAACTTTATTTGGTTGTGCCAGGCACCTCCGAAAATCCATTGACCCCAAAATCAACAAAAGAAACCCTTGATGAAGGTTTATAGTTGCATTTTGTAGCTTCTCTTTCATTAAATGTACATGCCCTTACTTTAATTCAGTACATGATCAAGTTAAAGATGTTGGTCTTAATCAGTGTGTTTCTTTGCGTGTTTGTGTTCTGCTGATTTTAAGTGGAAGGATACGTAATGGAAATGAATATTTCCCAAGGCAATTTCACATGTTGTGTTTCATTAATACTCACATCCTCCTTATAAGGAGGACATGGAAAATGGCCATGAAGAGTTCTAGCTAGCAGTTTTTGAACATGGTTGACTCTTTTTCTCTATGTTGAAAAGGAAAACTAGATCCACTTTCTTTGCTTAAGATGAATTTTTACTAATTCATGCAAGATTAGGAAGAAAAATCTGTCATCAAAATGCGAAATGGGAGAAGATGTATGAAGTTGCCAACAAGCTTTGTAAACAAAGGGGTATTAGTTGGGCTCTAGACTACTAAGACTACCTGTGTTAGAGAAGATTCATACAAGTTTACTCATAATCTTCTACTACTCTTGTCCTCTAGAAAACTTGAGTTTTCGTGTTGAAAATCTTAAGTTTGAAACTTGAGATGAGATGAGTGGAGTTTGAAAAGGAAAAAATTATTTCTTGTCATATAATTCATTATCTAATATATCAAAAAAATAATCATCTACTACTATCATAATTTCATGATTAAGAAATCAAAGGATTGCTAACTCTAGGATTTCATGAAGGGAAATATGATGGGTATGAAAGAAAACTAAAAACATCATGAGCAATTATAACACAAGTTTTTGCTTTTGCATTCCAACATCTACTTAGCAAGCAAATTGTTCACTAGAGACTAAAACTTTCCACTTCAAATGATGGGGGTCAATTCTTGTGGTTTACATCAGAAAATGATTGTGAGAAAACAAAAAATAAATCACATTTCTGGAACATTTTCATCTCCTAAAATTAGTCCACCACTGCATTGCCCTGCATCATGTTCCAATCTCACCTCGAGATTTCGCATTTTGAGTACCCTAACTGTTCCATCTCCCAGCTTAGCTTAGAAGCAACTATTTCATGGCGCGGAAAGTACTCCTAATACAAAGAAATAAGGATCTAGTCATTTAAATTTGAACAACAGGAATGTAATTCAGATAACAATTGCAAATGCTGCAGTTCTAATGTCATTTAAAACAAGGGGGCAAAAAATGGGGAAGTGAAACAGAGTATGCTTCGGATGACACATACCTCCATTTTCTTAACCAGCTCTTTGGCCGTGGGAGCAGACACAATGATATGCCTTGCATTTGGAGAAATGAAGCCTTCTTCCACTGCTTTGTCAATGAATGACAACAAGGAGTTGTAGTAACCATCCACATTCAGCAATCCCACCTTCATATTATTAAAAAAACGCCTTTTATTTTTAGATATCTTTCAAGATGAAAAAGAAAGATAAACATTGCTTAATTTTAATGAATGAATTAGCAAAAAGGGAGACAGAATTTTTACTGGTTTATCATGGATTCCTAGTTGGGCCCAAGTTATCACTTCAAGAAGTTCTTCAAGAGTCCCATAGCCACCTTCATATAGAGCGCAATACAGTACAAACTTAGCACAAAACCCACAAAAAGTCAAAATGAAATTTTTTTTTGAGAGTTTTGGGAAATAAGATGTGCATGGCTACGGAAGGTTGGGTTCAGTCTGGCCCATTCACTCTGTTTCTGATCTAGTGTGTGTTAAACAAACCCACAAAAAAAAAAAAAAAGTTGAATGATTGAGCTGGCTCATTTGGCCAAGGAGACACCATGGTTACATGAGCCTTTTAAACATAAATATCAATTCCTTTTTAACAGCGTTAATCCAATACAGGGTTCCTCAGCCAGATGTGGTCCAAAAAGGAAACAAAAGTCTATACAAAGTTGAGAAAAAACAGGGGGAATCAAACAAGGATGTGGAAGGGCAGAGGCAGGGTAACCTGTTAGAATCTGCAATGTCATAATTGACAAAGGACCATCTGGCAGAAAAAGGGTTAACAAATTGGGTAAGGGGGTGGTACAGCAATACTCCTACAACTAGCCATGGGACTATCGTTGCAGATAGAGAATGCATTCTAGCCACAGAAGCTTAGGCTCACCAGAAGCCTAATTTTCAGTGTCAGAGAGTGGGATGAAGATGATGCTGATGATGTTCACGGTTAGGTTTGATCGGTTGCTCTCTAGACTCTAATCATGTTTCTCTTATTGGGATTTGGGAGAAGAAGCCCCAGTAGTTCAAGCTGGAAACAGGTTGCTATGACTGGTCCATCTATGCCACACATAGGAATGCAAAAGTTTTCCAAGAAAGTTCAAATAAAATAGAAACAGTTGTATTTCCATACACTCTCTAGATTGTTATGTGAATCACCCGGCCTCTTTACTTCTCTTTCCCTTTCTGTCCATCTGTAACTTAATAAAAGCTCACATATTTTCCTTTCTTCCTAACTTAATATAGGCTTCTAGAGGCTCTACTTACCCTTCCTGGCTATTCTTTTCCTTTATCTGGTGCAAAACCCAGAAAAAGTTTATTGTGTCAACTTATTTGAGTTTTCAACACTACTCACCCAATTCTTAAATAAAGATGCTTTTTTTCCATTAAATCAGTAAGATAAACTGTTAAACCCTAATTTGCTTCTAAGCAGCGTTGTTTAGGCACATAACTGTGATGACAGTGTATGTATGGTAAGTGATAGAATAATAAAGGTCTTTGTACCAACCGGGAAGGGCAATAAAGGCATCGGATTGTCTAGCCATCTCAGCCTTTCTTTGATGCATGTCTGCTACTGCCTTCACTTCCCCCACTGGCTCTCCAGTTATCTGAAATAGTGCAGTGCCCAACCCAAGTCAATACAAAGGCAATTCCCACATAACTGCAACTTTTGGTGTGTGAGAGAGAAAAATGAGAGAGAAAGAAAGTTTTCAGCAGAAAAGGCAATGATGGTTGGGGCAGAGGTGGTGGGCTCAGTACCAAAAAACATGATATTACCAGGCAATTCCTCTACAATCATAAAGAAGAGAAAGAGAAGAAAAACAAAAGAAAATACATGAACCATATAAACCTGATATCTTGGTGGTGGGCACTGAGCGTGTAGAAGTAGAAACCCATTAGATAGGGACAAAAAATGGTGATTGTTCAAGACCCCATATGCCCCTCCCCAGGGGATTTATGGGAATAAGTTTCACAAATAGCACAAATGTTTAAAACCAGAACAGAATTTTAGAACCAGTCAAAAAAGGTGTTACTTAAAGCCTGCGTAACCACAAAAGAGGCAATTGGAATTTGTATTTAAAAGATAACAAAAGTAAGGTAGAAATTCATGTTACAGTTACTACCACAAGCACAAAAACAAACATCTTCTACCCATAAAATAGAAAAGGGGAAAAAAAAAAGGAAGAAAGAAGAGATGTAGATAATGCTCCGTTTTCCCCAAAAAATTATATTTTGAAAACTTGATAAAATACAATATTGGGGTATAGATAGAATAGAGGTGATACCTCTCTAGGCATAAGTGTCTTGGGGATCACTCTGCAGACAGAAACATGACAAAAAGTTAAGATGGAAATCAAAGCAAAACAAACCTGTTGATTAAATGTTCATGAAGAAGAAAATGGTAAAGAAAGGATAAGTCTGGAGAGGAATATGCTCACCCAAGGACATGGCGGCCACCGTTATAAACAGCCTGGGAAACCAAGCCCATCAAACCAATACTGCCTCCTCCATATACCAGATCAATATTTCTTGAAACCTTTCAACGGAAAAAGGTGAGGAAAACCCAGTATTAGCCTTGGAAACATGTTTGATTTAAAAGGCATCTCATTTGATTTCTTAAAAAAGTTTGGACCTTGGAAACAAGTTTAGTCTAGAAATGACGTTGAAAACTTAAAAATCTGAATAGAAACTAGAAAGATTGGAAATTTCGAAACAAGAAACACTCAGAAGGTAATCGAAAACAGATTCATCAGGGAGATTGCGGAATGAAACGAGAAAAGAAAGAACTTTCAACACAAGTTGAATTTGTTCTAAAAACAGAGGATGGAAGCAAACAGCAGAAGAACCCCTTTGAAAAAATCAAAATAAACCGGAGGAGAAACCAAAGAGAAAGCACTTCCAAGACAAACCAAGAACAGAGCAAAAACAGAGAGACATTCACCAATTCTTTCCCAAGTTCTATGGCAGCATCTCTGTAGCTGCTTTTCTTCCCCGGACTACTCCCACAAAACACACAAATCCTCTTGAATTTCGACTGCTTCATCTCCTTCTCCATCTCTCTAGAGCAAGACCAAAAATGCCCTGTTTAAATTGATACCCAGATGGGTTGAGAAATTGAGAGTGGAGGCTTATTGGGTGTGCGTCCTTGTGGGATTTATAACGGTAGCACACAGGGAGTACGCTAGCATGCGTAAAAATCCCATGCTCCAGCAGTCCACGACCAAATAAGCCATGATTATCTCCCCTGTGCTGTACCTAGTTGAGTCACCCACCAATCATGCTGCTTATACTTTTTGGACCCACATTCAAGTCCAGCTACTCCTGTGATTAGCAAAAATATGAGTTTTCTAATTCCTATGGTTTAAAAATGAAATTCTTATTGCAACTTGGTCCTTATGGTCCAATGGCTAATACTATTGAAAAAGCGCATATCCCTTTTCTTTGATCGGGTTTCAAATCGGTTCATGACAAAAAGTAAAAAAAAAAAAATGAAATTCTTATTCCTATTGTTAGCAAATTTGTAATTTTGTTCGTATAATTTGAATTAAAGAAATTTGCACATAAGGGGGGTCGGTAACAACAATTGTTTAGTTGAGTCAATATTCATTAATTCTAAATTTGTTATTTTGTGATCTAAATTAAAGACTTAAATTTGTAACAATTAAATATTTAAAAATTTTATAATTATATAAGAAAATTATAAATTTGAGTCAATTATTAAAATGAGACATCTATGATACTTTTTTATGATTATTGATAGCATTTTTCATTACTAGAGAGTTGGAGTGTAATATAGATGAGCCAAGTATGACTTTGATCACCATAGTGTTCACATTTAGAGAAGAAAAAGAAGTAGCACAGTTGTTCTAAACCAATCGAAAATTAAAAGTTATCACATGCAGCACTTTTATTTTCCAATAATGAATAGAATTCAAACTAGTTTTATATTGTAAACTTAAGATATGTTTAGATTGTTTGATTTAAGAGGAGGAGAGAGAAGATAACTTTTTATTAAAAAAAAATACAAGTACCCAAAAAAGAAAAAAAGAAAGGAAGGAATTTTTTTATTTTATTCTTTAGTTTTAATTTTTCCATTTATTTAAATTAAATAAGAAAAAAAAAAAAGAAAATTGAATTTCTTGTCCTTTTCTTTATTGTTTTGTTAGTTATACAAAGGGATAACTTTCTCTTATCAATTATCTCATTTCACCTGCATATTATATAATTTGAATTCAAAATTTTTTATTTTTAATTAAAAAAAATTACTATTAAATTATTCAAGTCGTTAATCGTCTTCCGTAGCTTAAAAGCTTAAATTATTTAGCACTTTTTCGTCACTGAAGTTTTCCCATTTAGCTCTCGTATTTTCCAATCAAGAACAAAATTTCCATTCTTTTTTTCTCCTTCCACTCTTCCCCCGAAATTGGCTCCCTTTTGTCTCTTACTCCTGCCCAAGGTTTGAACTTTTAACTGGGTTTCATTTCAAGTTAGAAACTTGGAACAAACTTGATTTTTTTTCATCTAAAATTTCCACAATCCCTCCAAAGTTTTCTCAGCATTCAAACTCTGCATAAACATAGTTGAGCAAAAGCATGAATCTCATTACACAATAGCTGTAGAATTTCTTTTCTTTATACAAAATCCACACAGAAAAACCATTTATCCCACGTTGTCACTTGCCGATCCCTCCGTATAAAGTGAAGTGTACCACAAAAATTTCTCTTCTTTCGCTTTCTATTGTGTGGCCCATAAGCAGGGGGTGGGGTGGGGATGGAAAGAAAATCAATAGTGGTTGATGAATTATTTGAGTCTTTGGAACCTATATAACTGGGAGAAAAGGTTTAGGTCATGACTCATGAATGTATATATGGTGTATGAAAAAATGTGTGACTGAATAGTCTATATGGAGCAAAGAGAGAGGAGGCAGGGTTTTCATGAGCAGGAATGCTCTATTACCCATCTTGTTTTGTGCCCTCAACCGCCCTCTCCCATTAGACACATACGCAACATGGTAATACCATAGGGAACAATTTATTTAGTTTTTATTATGTAAAAACAAATTCATTCCATTTCCCCACATTCTCGCCCATCTGCTGCACCGAACCATCCTGTCCCCAGTCCCACTCCCCTGCCCCTACCATTAGTTCTTTGCCTCTTATACAATCTTCATTTTCTTTACTATTGTCTAATTTTAACCATTAATGAGCACTTTTAGATGTAACATTTCATGAGGAGTTTGTATTTACTTGAACTCTTTAAGTTAATTCTTTATAATTGATCAAGCATATTCATTTCTAAAGATGTTTTTTTATCAGCAGCTATAGATGTTTATGTGGTCAATAAAATTTGATCTTTTCCTTTTTCTTGCTCTTTCACCTTTGCGCCAGTCTAATTTTTGCATTTGAGAATGAGATAGCACTAGATTAAAGAATATTTATGTACACATTGTGGCATAATTTCCATTTTGTCTTAATCAGCTTTCTGCTTTTCCATGTTGATGGCTCATGCACTTACTAACATTTGGTTTTTGATTGGCTGATCTTTGTTCATTTGATTAGGACCCAATGAAGACACCATTTTCACTTGGTATGAATCCATTGAGCACTTAATCTTCAAGTAACCTCCCATTTTCCTGGCTCCTTCTCTAAAGTAATGTTTACCTGTCCTTCGTTGCCTATTTGATTGTAACATAACTTCGGACACTTGCCTAGATTTTGACTTCACATAACCAGATTCATGTTTTTCAGTAGCATTATTGAACACATGATTAATAATTTTATATTGTCCTTTTTGCTGTAACTTTCCTTTGGCTTTCCGTTCAAATGCTTGAAATATCTTCATTGAAGGGAAGATCTGTGTCCTATCTTTGTTTCTAGTGCAGTTTCTGTCTCTGATAAGCGTGGTTCTGAAAGGTAGAGAGATCTCATTCTTTATTACCTAATCTTCCCAATGCACCTTAGCTTCTCTCACCCCATAACTCCTAATTACTCTACTTTCCATTTTTCCCACCCTCCGCAGACCAGAGAAAAGAAGAAAGAGAAAAGATGGGGTTTAAGATCATAAATTCAATATAAAGACCTTTTGGTCCAATTAGTCCTAGGCATCTTTAAATTGTCTTGTCTACAAATATGGGCAAATATCTACCATTAGATATATATACCAGACTAAATTTATTTATTTATTTATTTATTTTCAATTTTGTTTAGTATGAGTTATTTTCGAAAGAACTAAAATGTTAAAAAAATTACCTATAAATTATGAAATCTTATAGTGTATGGTTCTTTAAAAGGCACGTGTACATGGCCCTAAAACCAGGAGTTGACAAGTGGATGTGTCACTTTGATGGCACTAAGTGGCAAGCATGACAACAAAGCTGCAACAATATGCCTTAGCCAAACTGGCTTCTCCAAAATTAGCAAGTTTTTTGGGTCTATCCCATTGCCTAAAAAACAGTACAATTTACAGTGTGGTTTTTTAACATGTTCCCCAATATGTGACCTCATTTCACTTATATTATTATATTCAACTCATTTTTAAATGATTTTACATTCTAATGTTAAGAGACTCACAAGAGATTTTTTTAAATTACATTAATATTATTTTATTCAACACATGTACCTAAAAGTGAATATATACAAGTATTTGTATACGTATAATATATTTATAAGAGATAAGTGAGGTTTATTGTCGGTTTAAAAAGTGATATATATATTTATAGGAGATTGGCTCTTGCAAGAGAATCAATCTTCTATAAAAAGGGTTTTTGTTTAAGAGACCCCATTAAACATACTCTAAGTATATTTACCTATGAAAATGAAAAACAACAGACCTTTTCTCATCATGAAAAAAAAAAAAAAATCTTTCTCAACAAACAGAGGTATGGCCTTGTAAATCTAAAAGATAAACCTTGAAATGAAAATGAAAAGGGGTCATAATGTATTGATTAACATGGATATAATTAGGGTTCCCATCCACTTTAAATTGGGTGGGATTCCACCTCCCCCACTATATACATCCATGTTTATGACAAAGAAACTTTTTATGGGCATCTTCTTTTCCTTTCTCCACTAAAATTACATGTAGCAAACCATGAAATCACTTCTTGTCCCTACTCTCAGGAACATCTGCTCTTTATCTTTTTTCCTAACTTCTAATCCTTTGTCTTAACATGATGCCTTCATTTTAGGTAAGCTTTATGACATACGCAATGTGTAAAAATTATAGCATTTCCCTAATTCTCAAGTTCCTTTGTTTTCCTCAGCTCCAAATGGGTGCATATTAATTCTTGAATTGATATGTAAAGTTTTGACTTTTGAGGCTCTAATTAAATTGATTTGAGAAAAATTGGCGATTTAGGACGTTACACATCAAACCCTAAGAACATCATCAAGAACAGTACTCCAGAAGTCAATTTGAGATGAAATTGTTCTTCCCCAATTGAAGGGTAATTTAACAAAAAGACATATGATTAATCAAAGACAAGGCTTTATCTTCTTTTGCATCGCCGGCAAGGAACATAAATTGTTGGCGTTGATTACCTTTGTAGACAAGGCAGACATCTTTTTCACAAAATTATATACACAAATAAAAAAACACGTCTTAATTAATTAATTAATTAATCTAACTAGGAGTGTATTTCTTAAATTCATCCATTGATTTTTCAAAGCTTTGTTTCTCTCGTGTCTGAAGATGATGGATCGATCACCTAACCACCCCCCCCC